AGGTATTACATTTATTTCTACTTAAAAGTTAATATTCGAATAGTTAAATGTCTTTGGGAGATTTGAAATAAAACAGATACCTATAATTGGTCAAAGTTAAATAGTAATATTGATAAAACCTTTAAACCCTTATAGAAACCTAATTTATATTCTTACTAGATATAATATAGAATAAACAATAAACATTAATTAAATTATCTAACATACGAATAAGTTATAAATAATTAATAAATGTATTTATGATARTAAAATATACAAACATTTGATAAAATTAAGATAATCATCATATTAGCATTTATCAACATTAAATTATTAAAATTTTTTTGATAATCACATTTTAGTTTTTTATAATCTACTGAAAAATTAGTAATCATATTGGTAAGACGATATTTCAATGAGTAGAGTATTTAGATAGTTTTATGATAAAATACCTATAATTTTAAATTGTTATTTTTAAAAGTCACAGCTAACTATTATTATTTTAAAATTATATACTATATTAAATTGCTGAAAAACATATTCATGTTGATCAGATAATAATTTAAAAAAAATAAAAATATAATGTGGAATTTATTTATTGAAACGAGTACTTATTTAATTATATATTATTTATAAATAATTGTTTTGGAAAACATAATAATAAACTATTCACATATTTAACTCGGTAAAAATTAATGATATTTGTAAATTTTATTGATAATTGAAAATTAACAACGTATGCCTTTTTATCACGTTTTGAAATAATTAAATCAAAATTTATTGAAATCGACACTCAACGTGTGAGATAAAATTGATTTTATAGATAGCAAATAGTCAATTTCAAATAGAGGCTATCACTAGTAATACTGTAAATCATTGTAATAGTATTAATATTTATGTATGTGGTGTGGGTTATCGTATGACATGCAGTATAATCGATTGCTTAATGTTCACAAATAAGTAGTGAGTCCGGATGTATTTCAAAACTTAATATTATATGTATTCTGTATGCGTTGTGGTTGTTGTACACAGTAAAGGGATAGGGGGAAACCGATAAATATTAAACTTTTATTCGGATTACATGACATCGAATGGTAGTGCTTTAATGCTATAATCGAATGTATAAACAACATATTATTTCGTGCCGTATATTGGACGTGTGGTTTTGTCTGAGTTTCAATCATAAAAGACTTATACCGAAATTGTGGATGTTTTTGTTCCAATCCAAAAACTATAGCACTGTAGTGTTTTCAAAGTCGTCTTTCTCACATCCCACGACGTACGGCCGTCGGCGACGGAGCCAGAAAGAATATAAAATCTTACACAACGCAGATGATGATTATTTTTGGTTTAATCATAGAACATTGTCGGAATAACGTTTTCTGAACGGCTCAAACGGTTTACATTTGTCTTGCATTGTTTTCCTTTTGTTTTTTGTTTTTTAAGCTTCCAAGAGAACATTTATCATTTTTATGGTCGGATATTTTCGAGACCATTAATATTGTACCAGCGCGGTGGGTTGGAGGAAAATTAGGGTTTTAAATGCGTTAAGAAAAATAATAAAAAAATACGCGAAATTTGCGTTACTTCATACGACACACGCTGGCAGTCGTAAGTACATCAAACGTGCACTCTCTTAATATACCCTTTGTGCCATAGATATTTATGTGGATATAATAATATAATTATTAGCTGCAGCAGGGGAACRGAGAGGTGGCGAATATTGTTGCATGGTCTAATTTCCAGACGCCTGAGCGCTGCTCTGTAAGTAAGTACTAGGCAGTACTAGRCAGGAAATACCTATACTATCTATACTAACTTGATGAGGCAATCATCATCATTTTAATATCTCTGGTAATATAATATAATTTAGAAGGTTACGAGTATAATATAGGTAGGTACCTTGCACACCAACCCGGTACGTTCTTCAGTGTAGCGGGGATAGTCGGAATGTATGCTAACCAATGCTATGCCGGCTTCCTCGCCCACTACGCCGCTATCGCCTCGGCCACCTGAACCGCTAACCTTCATCCCACTAGTGATCGACAATGTCGATGACGTGTGCTTTCGCAGCTGTAACAGAKAACAAAATAATTATTATAAAAATACGTAAATAACAATTTTCCTAACAAGAATTGATACACACTAGAATGGGTGTTCAACCTGAATACATAACTAAAAATAGTAAAATGATATTAAAATAATCATATTATTATTATATTATCGTCATAATATTGTTGACATTTTTCAAATAAAACGACTACACGAAAACAAAATGAACATAATCATTGAAAATTTGTAAATTTGTAGTGTACTTTTATTGGCTATAGGTACTAATATAAACTTATGAAAAATGATATTATACACATACAAGTTTATTCGAATCTAGAAACGTAATATACCTATAAATTCATATTGTAACAAGCATTTGTAGTTTCAATGGCTAGGAAACTGATCGGGCCGGYAGTTTTCCTCAAAATGTTAGCAACAATTTTTTTTTAAACATATTTATTTAATTTGTACAATTCCTAAGAGGAATTTACAATAAGCACAGTGGACGRGTACGGTACATAATAGGTCTTGGTTGGCTTGGATGAGGAAGCTATTCAATAATAGCATTTCATTAGCAAAATTGAAAAATGATTTCAGTGTTCTGTGAACGTATTATTATAGGTACATACTTCAAATCCATGTAAAAATAGTTATTCGTATTAAGGTTGCCGTAAAGGCTTTAATGTTACATTTTATAGGTATAGTCCCATGATAATAGCAGTTTACCAAAATTATATGGGATCCTAGTTAAGCCTCCCTAAAAACAAATTATCATCCCTTAAAAGTAAAAACCTGGCTCCAMAACTCAGTATATACATATTTAAAACTAATCTAACTGCAATATAGGCAATATATTATAGCCTAATAATTACAATTGTATTATTTTGATTTTTTTTCTTATACAAAGTCTGACATAAATTAACAAAAAAAAAAAAAAAAAATAATATATATTCCCAAAATGGGTTATGAGTCAAACCAAAGTCCGAGGACCAATACATTAGAGTATTGTTTTATCGATTAAACGCATATATAGGTCGAACAATCGTTTTGTTATCGGAACTATCCGTTATTTTGTGTGGAATAGCCGGAAATCAATATGATATAGGTGAATGGCATGCATGATACTAGAAATGAAAGCTTATATTATTATTTTTTAATGACACGCGATCGAACTAAAAGGATTTTTAGTTCTCAACTATTATCAAGCGTATACAATACACGAATTGAATAAAATATAATTACTACAGGCATATTATTATAGTATGTGCAGATAAAGAATTTTGAGTTAAAAAATATATACGAATCGTAGATAAAATAATTAATTCTGCTTTTTAGCCAATACATATTATAATAATTTTAACTATTTGAATTTAATGTCAAGTTTAGTTAGAAAACCACCAAGTAAAATATCGTTTAAATTACTTAATATACCTATATAAATACTTTTATGATTGCACATCTTTCGCTAACGGCGTTTTCTTTATACAATGCGATTCTTCGTTAATGTATTAGACGACTCTTTTATGTTTTGGCAMAAGTATTAACGCATCGTGTTTTAAATGGATTAAAATTAAAGCGTTTTATAAATAGGAAAATGTTGATTAACAAATGCAATCATAATAATTATCATAATTTTCAAAATGTAAAAACGATATTTTTCGTATGGCTTAATGGAAAGACCATCAAGTATATTATACACACTATACATAGATTTATTTTTGGGCGTTAAGTGTTGGGCGTTACTCTATGGTCCATCTTGTCAGTTTGATCATTAGTTTTTAAGAGGTCACTCTATAAGAAAAATATAAGATTTAGGCGTGTGCGTTGAACAGCTATATGAAAAATGTGTTATYGATTTTAAATGTAATGGGAATAGCTGATTTTCATAACTCATAGCTCTATCATCATTATAAAGACTTATTTCTGCTTCAATTTTAATTTTCGCAGTCAGAAAACTCAATTAGTTTTAGAACCATCCAAAAATAAATACGCCTCCTTGTAACGAAAAATTTGTAAATTAAAAATTTACATTTATATTATATAGGTATTTTAAGTTGAATAATATCTTAGTTGGCCATTTTTTTTTTTATCGTTATACAGTTATATAAAGCTAARAAAAAATGTGTGTTTTAATAAAGTAAGCTTGGGGTGTTAAAGACAAATTAATAGGAGCACAATAAATTTGAAACTTGAAAATTAATTATCTATTATTATTAATATAGTAACATGAATATGACATAAAATATCTTATGTTCATACTCCGCACAAAATCATTTTTTGTATACAATGATATACCATTGAATTCAAATTTAAAACATCCATTATAATAACTCCGTTGACACCTATATACTGTTTCTATAGAAGAGTGGTAATCCCATTTCAAAATGTATTATTTTAATATTTATTGCTGTCATTATCTTATTAGTCGATACCGATGTACCATGGACAATGTGAAATGGTTTGTTATATAAAAAGTAATTAATAATCTAATAAATCTAATAATTTAATACTTTGAAATTGTCATTACTTGTATCAAATAAAATTACTATATGCAGTGTAAATGACTAAATGAGTTTCAGTTCTTCGCGGGAAATATATTTTTGAATTTCCTTAAAAAAACTTTTTGAAAAATGTGAACTATCCTATGTATTTTCAGTATTTTGTATATTTTTAAATCACTACTTATAGATACAACTTATGGCTTCGGTGAAACCTTATATTAGATACTTCATACATTTTTACAAATCATAAATATTTTACCAACGTTTATAGAAAAAAATAAACTAAATAAATTAGGAAATATAAAAATAAATAGCTTAAAATTAGAATATTTTGAAGAATTTATCGCATGTATTAAATTATTATTCAACTTATAGTGAAATGTTTCAAGCCTTAATTAGGTCTATTAGAATTCAATATATCTTTTAATACTTGTTAGACAGCGCAAAAACCTCTGTGGAMACGATTCAGTAGCGAAATACGAAGGTGAACCAAATAACTATACTTGCGGCGCCTTAAACACAAGTATGATTTATGATCAGTTTATGTAAATATTCTGATCCCTTGTATTTTTCCACTAGTTTTGCTTTATTGAATAATGTTTGACCTTTGTTTGTTCCTTACGAATAATCGAACGATGGTAGTAAAAAATTGAAACYTCTGACCTAACAAAAAATAATTCATAGTACTAATACAGATATTTTAGAATTAYAATAGGTACTTATGTAGAAATATATATGACATATGTGAAGAAATGGGCTTAGCTGCACAGTGGCGTATTTTGGGGGGTTTGGGTTGTTCAACTCCCCCTCCCCCCAAATGTATGGATGGTATGCGCATAACTAATTAGAATTTAAGAGGGAGTGTTGAAATATTATTTTTTTTTGTAAACTTCCCCACCCCTAAATATATGCCACTGTAGATGMATGCATTTGTAAATTGTAATTTGCAATATTGTGAATTGTTTAATACAGCACATATCAATTATTACGATTCATTGAAAATGTTACAATTAATCATATAAATTAGAACTTATTCCTAATATTTGTTATCACTTAACACATTAAAATGTAATTCAAAAACGATTATATTGAATGCCTTGAAATCTGTGATACAACGGCCGTGGTGTTGATAGTTTAATGTAGTTGTACACGTTAAGGTTAAGTTTACTGATTCGCTTCACAGTACACGAGGTTGGTTTTATTAAAATAATTTTATAGCAGAAAATATGATTGTATAATAATAGTTTATAAATGCAGATATTTTAAAATAGTTATACAAATTAACAATGTAATTAAATGATAATAATATATGTATTATGTATGGTTGGTGGTTGTTAATTTAATTCTCGTTTTCCAATCGCTATAACCGGAACCATAATATGAATATTGTGAAGTTATACTTTTATTATATTAAGCTAGTATTGATAGTACTTAATCTGTAACTTGGATTTAAAACTGTATGCACGTATCACAACGCATATTATACTACCATGTAATTTATAGTACGAGTACTCGTATATACAGGGATGGACGAGTGGCTCAATTAGTTGTTGGTACTTAACTGTCTGCAAGTTGTAATTTTCACTTAACCTATWTACCTTGTTACAAAATATAAGATACCTAATTTGGATATTTTTAACAGTTTATAAGTTACTTGATAGATTATAATTATTTATGTTTGTTTATTCAGAAAAATAACGAAACTAACTTATTTTAGTGTATGAACCGATAGGATACGTATAATCAAATTAATCCACCCCAACTTTAAAACATTARGGAATGATTGTATTAATATTTAAAAAAAACTGACTATATTTTTATATCAATGTTCGTTAAAGAAAATATTTCAATATTTAAAACTTTAAAAATAACAGTATAAAGGATATTGATTATTGATGTTATCAATTATTATTTGATTGTAAAAATAGATAAATGTACATTTTTTATTAAGTTACTGTACAAATTGTGACAAGATTTATTTTAAAGATAGATACTAGACATTTATGTTATTGATTACACTAGTTACCAAGTTTTGATACATGTAACTGATTAACGCTTAACCCTGAGTGTTCGAATAGCCAAAAATACCTGGATACAATATAACATAACAAACAATACAGTAATTAGCAATATAGTGGTTTATATAACTATTGAATAATATATGATAACATTATGTGCTGGTACTTAGAGTGAAACAAATTCACTAAAATTATTGGACAATAAATATACACCAAATACATTATGTATATATGTTTTGAAAACAATTTCATAATACAGCAGCAATGAGAAAACGAATTAATGTATAAGTCAATAATTGTATTTATTAAAGTACCTAATCAGTAAAACTGTAAAACAATCAATGATGACTCATAAATATACATTAATTGTATATTATGTATTTCTAAACTAAAACAATGCTAATTATTATATCATATTTATTAAACTATTATATAATTCATATTAAAATAAGGCAATGAAAAAAAGTACATATTTTAACACCTACCAACTAAAAATTTTAAT